ATCTGAAGTACTAAAGACTCTGTATATAACAATACAGGGAGAAAAAAACAGCCCTTGCTGAGTTACTTGCAGGTTCTTCTCAGTACAAGGTCTCCCGCCGTAGTTTTGACAATCGATGGCGTAGCTTCTTGACCTTCACAAGTACTTGTAACAGCCTAGACTGAATAAATGACTTTTCAATAAAACTAGTTTTTACGGGTTAATGCACGAAACTTTATTTATTTAATGAGTGATGTGCGTCAAAACCTAAGAAACAAAAATGACTTTTCATTTCATTCGTTTCATTCATTTCGTTCATTTCATTCATTTCGTTCATTTCATTCATTTCATTCATTTCATTCATTTCATTCATTTCATTCATTTCATTCATTTCATTCATTTCATTCATTTCATTCATTTCATTCATTTCATTCATTTCATTCATTTCATTCATTTCATTCATTTCATTCATTTCATTCATTTCATTCATTTCATTCATTTCATTCATTTCATTCATTTCATTCATTTCATTCATTTCATTCACTTCATTCATTTCATTCATTTCATTCACTTCATTCATTTCAATCATTTCATTCATTTCATTCACTTCATTCATTTCAATCATTTCATTTCATTTCTGCGCAGACATATGGGGAACCACTTAAGTTTCTTTCGAAAGTTGGGAGACGTGATCATAGTTACGAAGCCCAAAGATGAATCGGATAGCAAGATTCTGCAGGCGCTAAAGTTTATTAAGTAATACATCCGTAGCGTCAAAATAACAAGCATCGGCATAGTCGAGAAGTGGAAGAATGAGAGATTGCGCAAGGGCAATTTTAGTATGTAAGGAAAGGCTTTGCAAACATTTTAATGTGTGAAGCGAAAAATACATTTTACGACTAATATTAGCGACGTAGGCTGTCCATGACAGGTTTAAAATCATATTATGTGACACCGAGATTTTTCACCCTATAGCTATAAGGAATATAGATTCCACCTATGGATACTGGCGGCAAGTAAAAGGAATGTGACATATACCTACTCCCTATGATGATTGCCTGTGATTTACTTGGATTAACTGAGAGACCATAATTGTGCCCAAGTACTAATACGGTTTACGTCTTCATTAATGGCTACTATCGTGGAGTCCGTTTCGTCAATATTGAAATGAGGGTAAAACTGCAAATTGTCTGCGTAGAGATGAAACTTGGAGGAAATTACTCTAGTAACAGAGTTAATGAAAATGGAGAATAGGAGTGGTGCGAGAACACGACCTTGAGGTACGCCTACACAGAAGTCAGACCCAGACCCCTCTTTCCCAGTAGGCACTTTGGGCAAGTGCCCAGGGCCCCGCGATCAATAGGGGCCTCCCTCAGAATAGTTCCTGTCAGATCACCAAACGATAGCCAATATTTATTACCAAAAAACTTATATAATTCGATGAAACCGAACCTTTTTTTTTTGATACGCTGGGGAAATGCATTAAAATGCATACCACATGGTGGTTATATGGGGCTCTCCTCCCCAGAAGGGGGAGGCCTACCCACTAAAACCCCAGCGATGGCCGCCATCAGGCATTGTACGGGGCTTCAGGACCGAGTATCGCATCTGAGGACCCGCAGCCTTTGTTCCCCTGTTTCCTCCAGGGGAGCCCTTCTCGGGGGAGTGTTCGCAACCTCCCCCATCCCGATGAAACCGAACCTAAATTACTGACTACAATACCAACTTACTAGGTACTTACTCTCTCAGTATACTAAGCACATACACATTTTAAAGGAAAATCTTCAGTAGTACCCTCATCAGTATGCCTCGCTCCATTTCAAGACATAATCCACATCAAAGTCATAGGGGGCCCCATAATATTAATATACTCAGGGCCTCCAATAGGTTAAAGACGGCCCTGGTCACACCCATCAGAGGCTGAATCATCAAGGCGAATATTTTACGAGCGACTCCAAAGATATGAAAGGTTAATATATTTTTAAAAGATTCTATATGTTTTTTTCATCTACTATATTTTTAGAGGTTACAGCTTCGAAAATACTATATTTGATAGAAAAAAAAGTTGGCAACCCAGCTTGGGTACCTCACGAAACGTAATAGATGTTAATTCAGTTGAAAGGACAATGGGCAAAACACACCCAGCTCCGCCAACAATGTTATTAGTATGAATCGATAGATCTATGAAAAACTAGCCTTTTTTATTATGACACCGTAAAAAAAATCCTGGTAGTCAAAAGATATGACACCGTAAAAAATATCCTGGTAGTCGAAAGCTATGATTGATATGATACACATGCGTATTTTTAAGTAGCTTAATAAATTCATTTTATAGTACCTTCATTTTATATTATTGGTAACCAGATATACTACAAAGCCTGTCCATCCATCCTGCGCTTGCACTTACTGAGCCACCACAAAACGGTTTACAGGGGTTGAAGGACTTGCAGTTGCAAATAGTCGACTCATCTTACCTTCGTTGTGATTGTGCGCTCCCTCCCTGTGACTTGATTGATTTTTATCCAACACCCTTTGGACATTGGAACACGATTATCGGTTGTTTTCTCCGAAGCGTAAAAAAGTTTGTGTGATTTGTGGTTGCTCTGTTTTACATAGAAGACAATTTACTATAACGAACAGAATGTTTGAAAAAACGCAAACCTAAGCGTGGACTTTTAGATTTACTCTAGCGCGGCAGAATAACATAAGGCACCCTTGCACCTTGTGGAGTACTCCCATAATACCTAGGCCCTCTATGTAGGGTCGAACTAACTAAATCAATTCCCTTGTTTCATTAATGTTCGTTCATTATAGTACTTGAACCTATTTATCTTAAAATAACTAAGGATCCCCGGGATGGAATTTGATGCGCTTCGGCAGTGATGATCATGACTATAATACCTTTCAAACAAATGTAGTTTGAGCCGTGGCGGACGTGGGTGCAGCGTCCATACATTTTTGCTCATTGTCCTTTGCACATTATGTGTATTTTGTCCTCGTAATGTCAAATAACGTTTGGTATTTGCTGTTTGTAATGGGCATCTAAGATATCCTTCATTATCGGTGACCCGACATGCACTTGGTCGCTTTTTATTACAATGTAATTACATATCATTATCATCAGCCTATTAATGTTCCCGTTGTAGGGGCCTTTCCTATGGATGGCATAGTGAGATTGGTCCATGACCCATTACCACCATGCAGACCCAGTAAGGATTGGTGGGTGCAAACGACTGCATTTGCAGCCGAGTCCAACGGCTTAACGAGCCTTCTGTAATATGGAGGAGCTCGATATAATAAAATGTCGGCCACCAATCTGATGACTGGCCATTACGAAAGTTGCTTAACTTCTACGATCGCAGAACGCAATCAAGCTCTTTCATAATGACATTATAATTAACACATTTCACCCAGGTGTCCCATTGTTTTTTATAAAATGTATACTAGAAGTAAACTATAAGCTTTTCAACTTCCTCTGAGACAAAAGGTTAACGAACCTTAAAAGTTTTTGAAGTTATACTTCTTTAGGCGCGTTATGAAAAAATGATGAGAGTGAAATTTCGCTTTAGCGACCAACTTCATGCGTTACTTTTGTGTTTACCGCACATTAAGAAAATCTACCAACAAAATAGAAATAGAATCTCTATTTAGTGGGTGCTACCGACTGCATTGTGAAGGCCTATCAAAAGTATTTATTAATCTGGAACAACGGAACCAAAGCGCGATTCAGGAGACTACAGCGCCATCTCTTGACCATTGGTGTAGTAGAACCAAAAACCACATCTTTATTTTTTGTAATAAAGTAACAGTTATAGGTATTCATATTTATAATATTTATCCACATGTTTCTAGTTTGTATATTCGGAATACGTGTTTGAGTTTCATACAAGTGCAAATCACATATGTTCTAATAAATTATATTCAGTAGCGATTTTAATTGAATATTTTGATTATTTATTTATTTTTTCAAATTAAAACTGAACTTTATTGACTGTGTCCTTTTCCAGACTTTTTATTAATTTATTGTAATTAATTATTTGCATGCAATTAAAAACTAATTTTAAACGATGCCAAAGAAGGATAACTTCTCACGCGCCTACATAAGTACACGCACCCATTTTTTTTCAATAGATTTATTTTTAAACGCATATAAAATCATTTTTCAAAAAATAGTTTAAAACCTATAACTGTAGCTATTCCCAAACTTTATTATATTACTACAAAATTGAAGATTACTAAAGCAAATAATGTTACGCGTAACTTTGATTATTTACTCTTCAAAGACGTTGTAAAAAATATTCAAAATATCGTTATTGTCAGGTTACAACGGTTATCTTTAATTTTTTTTTAACCCACGAATTAGCCTGGCCCCAAAGTAAGCACTGTAGGCTTGTGTTATGGGATACTAGGGTAACGAACAGAATACATATACTGTTATATATATATGTATATTTATATAGAAATACATATTAAACATCCATGACTGGAGTACAAATGCTCGTATTCATCACACAAACATCTGCCCCCACCAGGTTTCGAACCCGGGACCTCTCGAGTAGGCGGACACCTTGAAACCCGACGTATAAACCATTCGACCACGAAGGTCGTCTACAAGTTTACTATCGATTACAAGTTTTAGAAACATTGGTTATTTTATAGCTATTAACGGGATTGTTACCATGTACCTTGTGTTTTATGAGTCTCCGATATTTCGGCACTGTTGCAAGCGCCATGATCACGGGGTAACTGAAGTAATTGCGGGTAGATGTTATTGGCAGACATATCGGTCTACCCTCTGACGTCGTCTTTTACTGCTCTCGATACCCGTACGACTGGTCACATTCTCACTATTCACTCGCACTGTTCCCGACACACAATACTCACAGTATCAGAGTACATGGTAACAATCCCGTTAACAGCTATAATGTTAGTGACCATGAAAGTTTAAAACAATATATCATTGGTTATTTGTTTAACTTCTTTTCTCAGAGGAAATTGCATAGCTATCGGGGCGTACTCACTTTCATCAAAATGAACATGCTTGGATAGCTTATGCCACGTTCTGTAGTAGAAGTGGCTGACTTGAGTCTTGGTCTTCAAATTCACATCTGGCATGCCCTTCTTCTTCATCTTGGCGCATATATGGGCTGTGATAGCGTCAAAGTCTTTTCCGTATTCGTTGAGGGCTTCGAAAAACAGGCTCTTCTCGTCGGTAGACCACAGAGCTTTTGGCATACGTTGCTTAACAGTAGGGAACTTGAGCAAGTCTTTATCGTCGATCTTGCTGGGGGTATCGCATTCTGTGAGCTCTGGGGAGAAACATTATATTTGTAACTAATATGAAGAACTGTAAGCCGCGTTATGGGATACTGGGGTCACGATAGAGATAGAATACATATACAGGGTGTTACAAAAATACAAATAAAGCTTAAAGAGCGTTGAAGAACTTCATATAAGAAGACTTCTCTAATTTTCTTAAAATATTTACATGAAGTTTTAACTTTTTATAAAAACAGTTATTTTTAATGATTCTCGAACTGTTTAAACGATCGATATTTTTATTATTCATTAAAAATAACTGTTTTTACCAAAAGTTAAAACTTCATGCAAATATTTTACGAAAATTAGAGAACACTCCTTAAATGATGTACTTCAACGCCCTTCATGCTTTATTTGTATTTTTGTACTGCTTCTATTGAGCAGCATAATTATGTGGATCAGACTTTGGAATTTGTTCCAAATACTGACATTAATTGTAATTTAAATTAGTTCGTAAGACAACAGAGGAGCTCTCTAGCTATATCATGACCAAGGAAAAGTCTAAATTTCTAAATATTGTTCACCAAAATATACAAGGCTTTTCTGGTAAAGACTTAGAACTATGCTTATTTTTAAATACAATGAATATAAACATTTTATGTATTACAGAGCACTGGCTCAGAGATTATGAATTAGTTACAGGCTTAGATAATTATACAGTTGTTAGTAGTTTTTGTAGGAAATCGGCTATCAGGGGAGGCTCTCTCATAATCTTACAGAACAATCTTAAATACAAAGAACGTACAGATATTGTTACACTTTCAGTTGAACGTAATATAGAAATATCTTGTGTGGAACTTGAAGAAACGATCATAATATGTGTATATCGGCCCCCATCTGGGAATTACACTCAATTTGAGTCGGCTATGGAAGATGCTTTCAATATAGTATGTAGATGTAATAAAGTGGTTGTTGTGTGTGGTGATTTTAATATAAACATTTTAGTTAAGTGTCCATTAGTGAGTAGGTTTCTAAACTTATTTAAATCATATAACTTGGAGCATACCTTCTTTGAGCCTACCCGCATCACACATGCATCAGCGACCTGTTTAGATAATATTTTTTGTAATAGAAATGTTTTTAATAAATCAATAATAAATTGTATTAATTCTGATCATAGCGGACAATTAGCCTCTATTGAACACCATCATGCTTCACCCAAACATGACCTAACTTGTAGACCAATTACACAAACGGGTATAAATAAATTTCAAGATAGCGTTTATCACAAAATATCGTACTTACCAGTTTATAGTAATAATAATATTTTGTATGAAGATTTATTCAATTTAATTAAAGATGAATTTAATATAATATTCAAACGCAAAGTTATTAAATGCCATAGCTTTAAAAAGAAATTTAGTGATTGGGCCACACTGGGTATTTACAAAAGTAGAAATAAGTTGTATCAATTATATGCTCTCAAGGCAACCTCATCTGATCCTAAGTTTATAGAATATGTCAAAAACTATTCAAAAACTTTTAAAAAGGTGTGTGCCATAGCAAAAGCTAAGTTTTTATCAAAAAAAATTAGTCTTTCCGATAATAAAATAAAGACAACTTGGAATATAATTAATAATGAAACTGGAAGAAATAAATTTAATGAACACACATATTCTTTAAAAATAGACAATAAGATTATTAGGACAGATGATGCCGTTGCAAACACTTTTGTAAATTTCTTTTCTAGTGCACCATTTGAAACAACTAGAAATGTTAATTCTTGTTCTAGGTTAGCAATGACCCTCCTCGAGTCAAGTGTTGATAAGTGCAGTAATGATTTTCATTTTAGACATATCAGTAGTGACTGTATTATAAAAACTTTTAACTCAATTAAAATTAAAAAGACAGAGGATTTATGGGGAATATCAACATATATAATAAAACCGATTATCACTGTCATTGCGCCACATCTGGCCATTATATTTAACAAATGTATTGATGAGGGAGTGTTTCCAGACCTAATGAAATGTGCTAAAGTTATCCCTCTTTTTAAGGCTGGTGATAAATCAGATCCCAGCAATTTTAGGCCTATATCTGTATTACCAGCGCTAAGTAAAGTATTTGAGAAAATAATTTATAACCAATTACTAGCACACTTTTCTATAAATAAGCTATTTCATTTAAAACAGTTTGGTTTCACTAGAGGCAAAAGTACTACTGATGCTGGAACTGCACTTCTCAAACACATCTTTGATATATGGGAGAGTAAGCACGATGCTATTGGCATTTTTTGCGACTTATCAAAGGCGTTTGACTGCGTTAGCCATGAAACATTGTTAAATAAAATGAAGCATTATGGTGTATCAAATATTTCACTAAGTCTGATACAGTCTTATCTTTCTGCTAGGATTCAGAAAGTAGTTATAAATGAAGCTGAGTCTACAGGAGCACCCATTTCTATGGGCGTGCCCCAGGGTTCAATATTGGGCCCATTGCTTTTCCTTATTTATATCAATGACCTTCCTCACTTTACAAGAGATTTGTGTGAGACAGTACTATTTGCTGATGACACCTCTTTATTGTTTAAAGCTAGAAGAGGAAATGATTGTTATGATGAAGTAAATTGTGCTCTCTCTGAAGTCCTTCACTGGTTTACGGTAAATAATTTAAAACTTAACTCCAGTAAAACAAAATGCGTTAAGTTTACTCTACCTAATGTGAGGCAGGTTTATACTAGTATAAAAATAAATGACCAGCCTGTAGAGTTAGTGGATTTTACAAAGTTTCTGGGTATTACTTTAGACTCTCGTCTACAATGGGATCCTCATATTGATGCCTTGTCAAGTAGATTGAGCACTGCAGCTTTCGCTGTTAAAAAGATAAGACTCTTAACTGATGTGGAAACGGCAAGATTAGTTTACTTTGGTTACTTTCACAGTGTTATGTCATATGGCCTTTTGTTGTGGGGCTCAGCCGCTAATATCGAAAGTATTTTCATACTGCAAAAGAGAGCTGTTCGCGCCATATACAATTTAAAGGCAAGAGAATCCCTTAGAGAAAAATTTAAAGAAATTAATATTTTAACACTGGCGTCGCAATACATTTATGAAAATTTAATATATGTAAGAAAAAACTATGATGAATTTGCAAAAAAAAGTCAAACCCATAACTTTAACACGAGATTTAAGAACAAGCTTGCCGTTCCATGTTTCAGACTCCAAAAATCAAGAGGTTCATTTCTGGGTTGTAGTATTGCATTGTTTAACAAAGTTCCCCAAGATCTGATTGAGCTTCCACTGACTAAATTTAAATCTCAGATCAAAAATACTCTTATGAATAAGGGCTATTATAAAGTTGATGATTATCTGAATGATCGTAATGCATGGACATAGTGTTTCTTATAATTTGATATTAAATGGGTATTACTCATTTTTCATAACAGTAATATTGTACCTATCTAATGCCGCTTCCTATATACTACTTAAAATGTTAACTATAAAATTAATTGTAACTATTTATATTCTAGATGATGTAATGGAAAGTGACTTCAGACGTATTTCTGAAGTAATTTTTCAAATTGACGACACTGTATATAACAATACAGGGAGAAAAAAACAGCCCTTGCTGAGTTTCTTGCCGGTTCTTCTCAGTACAAGGTCTCCCGCCGTAGTTTTGCGAACCGATGGCGTAGCTTCTTGACCTTCACAAGTGCTTGTAACAGCCTAGACTGAATAAATGACATTTCATTTCATTTCATTTCATTTCATTTCATTTCATGTAACATCCTGTATAGTGATACATATTAAATGAGAATATATTTATCTAGAAATACATATAAACCTGTATGATTTAGGTACAAATGCTCGTGTTTATCATACAAATATTTGCTCCACCTGGATTTGAAACCGGGACCTTTGAGTACGCGACACCTTGAAACCAGTCGTCAATACCATTCGGCCACGAAAGTTGTCGTTTTTATAAATGCTGAAGTTATTCATATACCTGTCATCGTGACACGCAAAATTGAAAAACAAATTATTAAGAAAAACTTTTTATCAAAATAATTAACCTTATTTATTTTTAGTCAAATTAGTATTTGGTGTCGGTGCAGTAGTTATAGGTAGTGAGTAGAAATTTTGAAAAAAAGAACCTACCTATGTTATATTTTCGCTTTGTTCCGACATTCACAAATTACCTTTACCATAAGGCACTTGCTGAAAATAAGCGTTGCTGTGGTATCGCGGAAGCGTTCACCATAGAGCATAGCAGAGCCAGCGACCTGTTGGCCTTGCACGGCACGCCAATGTTACCAACCCTTACCAAACTTTTCCCCTAAATATTTTTTAAATTCCCCTAAATGATTACATAAAAAAATTAAATTTAGGAGGTATAATTTTTTTTAAGTACCGCCTTATTACCCAAATTCAGCCAGTCGTTTCATATCATGGTGCGTTCCATTTTACGCACAAAATTGAAAGAAAACACACGCTTTATTTTTCGATTTAATTGCAAGTTTTGATAAAATAAAAGCCCCTAAAAGAAAAGCCCCAAAAATTTCCAGCCCCTAAAAAAGTCCGTTTTAACACTTCTTGCCCCTAAATCTGGGGGCAAAACCCCTAAGTTGGTAACCGTGCGGCACGCACTATTACCTAGTATTTAATTTTCATGTTTTTTAGTATGTTATTTTATAAACCATATTGTTTTTCTTATTTCATGCTGTTTATGCCAATAAAATGTTTATCTTTCTTTCAATGTTTTCCCATTTCTATTCTGATTCGATAAAATATTAAGTAATGCCACTTAGTGCTACTCAAGTCACTCTGTTGGTCTTGTTACACCTCCAAAACCGATTGAGGACGAACACAAAAAAGCAAGCGATGATCGATTGGTTGTGCAGAAAATTTTTAAGACTGTTTCCTCGTTGCAGTGAGAATAGTCAATTAAACCGCACCGCCGCGCCGCAAGCTTTGTTGTTGTCTAATTATTGGTTGTCTGTAAAGTCGGTTTACGCACGATAGTTTTACGTGATAACGTCATAACGAAACATTGATGAAAAAATATCGTTATTCCGCGCTCTCGCTTGCACGCTCGGGCTGATGCGGAACGTGACACTTTTTCGTGCGTGCATCCGGTGTTCATCGATTTATAAGACGTTATCCCGTCAAAAATTATGTAAATTTCCCTTGCGATATCTTATGGTTCCCTTAGTCAGTTGCGGAACTTTTTGCCGATCAGCACAAAAATCAACTTGACAAATTCTCTGTTGTTGTCCATCATCGACTACGCTGACGTTTGCTACACCGATCTGTCGGAGGAACTCCTCAATAAATTAGAGCGACTGCAGAATGTTTGTATCAGGTTCATTTATAATCTCCGTAAATTCGACCACGTGTCTCACTTCCGTAATAAACTTAATTGGCTCCCTATTCACCGGCGCAGAGGTCTACACACTCTAACGGTTCTCTATTCTATACTTTTCCTGCCATCTTCCCCACCTTATCTTAAGCAGTGTATCTCATTTCTATCCTCTACTTCACAGCTCTCACTGAGATCCTCTTCTAACCTACTTCTTGAGATTCCCTGTCACTCTTCTGACTTCTTTCTTACTCTTTTCTGTGCACGCTGCTCGACTTTGGAATTCACTTCCTGAGGGTATCAGAAAGGCTCGTTTGCTTAATTCCTTTAGCGATCAAGTTAAAAGTTATTTCCTTTCTTTATCTTAAATTCATTTAATATCCTTTTTCTTTGCTTCTCTTATATTTATGTAAGTATAGCTCCTGTATCTTCTTTTGCACCCTTCTATGTTTCTCTATTATTATTCCATTTCTACCATAGGTTGCCTGGAAGAGATTGCTGTTTAGCAATAAGGCCGCCTATTGTACTCTTTCTTCTGTTTTATTTGTTTTTTATTTTGTGTCTAATAAAGGATATTTATCATTATTATGTAAATTTCAAATAGGTAGTCCATTTTAAAGTTCATTGTCATTCAGCAAGTTTTGTTCAATATCTATAATCATATGCATGAGCAATAAATTTTCATTTTATTATGTATAGTTTTTAGCATTATTGTATTGTTTGCAAACTGGTTAAACTAGAAGTCAAGAAACAATATAGGATGCGCCAGGGGCCGTGTGTATACTATACACTGTGAATTTGATTTGAGGTACTTCTTGATTTTGGATATATGTATGTCCGCAAAAATAGCTGGCATAAAGTTTCGCTATGTAAATATGAAGCCCATGGTCAGTCCAAGGGCGGATCCAGCTTCGGCGCCAGGGGGGTCATATAGTCGTGGTCAAGTCATAGTGGGTACAGATTGTGAAGTGGGTACACACATGACCCCCATGATCTCAGTCCGTCCATATATTACGTCATTCTAAATTAGGGGGGGGGGGGGGGGGTCTGCGGATGACGGTAAATGATAGATAGGGGGGGGGGGGGTGTTTCGAAATTGACGTCATTCATTAAACATACATAATGCAACATAGATGTACACAAATACAGTAATAACTACAGATAAAATACTCTAACAATAATATTACATATAATACTAGCTTTTCTCAAATCTGCAATATTTTAATTTTGTCAAACTGGTAATGACGTCAATTTTGGGAGAAGGGGGGGGGGGGGGTCATTAAGAAATGACGATAGGATGATTGTAGGGGGGGGGGGGGGGTGTAAAATCTGAAAAAATCGATGACGTAATTTATGGACGGCCCCTTAAGATAGCAACGGCGCAACTATGAGCCGGTTTCAGTCAGTGAATCCCATACACTAATGAGCAAAGATATGAAATTGGCAACTCTCTTTAAAGAGAAATTAAAGAATCAGTCGATTGACAATACCTTTAAGAACAATGGGCCGCCCGATCGCTTGGTCTCTTTCTCTCACTTCTGTACGCTTAGCACGAACCAATATCGAATTCGAATAGTTTGCGATTCCGAAATGTCATTGTGAAATGTGTACTGATTTTTAGTTCTTTTTATGTCCGTTGTGGCGATGCTGTTCAAGTTTCCATACAAAATTTACAGTTACAGTTAGCCAGTTATTCCATTCTGTATGTACACACATCAAAAAAAGTATGAGATCACTTGCAAAAACTGATATATTTACAAAATTTAACTTAATCAAGGGAAAATGTTTACGTTATATCTTTTTTTATTTAAAAATACACTTTTTGAAATAAAACAAAAACATTGTTTTTTAGTATAAAAAAATTAATAATTCTATTCTAAGGCGATTGTAATAGAACTTTGATAGAAATAAAAAGATAGTTTAACCAAACTTAAAAACTTTTTATTAATAAATTATTGTTTATCTAATACAAAATAACTCCTCCTCTGGCTCGAACACATGCGGAGATCCTCCTGGGCATGCTGAGGACCAAGTTATCAAGCATTTCTTGTGGTAACCTTTCCCAATCTTGAACAGCTTACTTGAGCTGCGGCACTGTCTGGGGTGGTGGCTGCCGGTTCCAAACAGCTCCCTTAAGAGCATCCCACGCGTGCTCTATTGGGTTTAAGTCAGGAGAGCCGACAGGCCAGTCTAACCTTGTGATTTCGTATTCTCGGAGAGCAGCATTGACTCGTTGAGCTCGATGTGCAGGCGCATTAGCGTCAACCAGTACAAATTGATGTCCATAGTTGACTATTCCATCAAAAGCGACTGTTTTGTATCTGTCTGCCATCATGAAGCCTTTATAGGGCTTTATAATTTTAAAATGTAGAATCTTATCAGAAAAATAAATTACAAAAAAGTCTTCTGTAACACATTTCTATTTTTCAAAGTGATCGCAAACTTTTTTTGATGTGTGTATGTGTCGTAGGATCGAATTTTCGGCAAAATCCTTGGGATTTTGAGAAAACGCAGTAATCAATGGCGATGACATTGCTCAATCTCACTGTTAAAGATTTTTTTTAGCGCTTTGCCCGCCGCTCCCGCTTCACGCTCGCTGCGCTCGCTGGGCCGCGCGTCAAGGTCACAACACTAACGTAACCTAATCTAATGTGAACCCACGAACCCAGAAAGCAAAGATTATTTATAATAAGCCAACGATTCTTGACGCAATCTTACTCAGGCGGCTCACTGTTTTCGCAAAAATCTAATGTTTTTTCGGTAAGATTGAGAAATGTAATCGCATGTGATACTTTGGCTAATTATTCGCGTTTTTACAAAATCCCTAGGATAGGCGAAAATTCGTTTAATCAAATCATCCTACGGCGTATATAGAAAAAGAATATATGAACCAGGGCTTGTTTACCGGTTAATTTTCAAACCTAAATCAGTATCAATTACATTAGGAGCATTTTATTAAGGTTTGGCTTTACCTTAACCTTAAAAGAACCGGTTTTCCTAAAAAGCATAATCAAACAGGTTTTGAATCAATTTAGCCGTTTTTTAAAGGGTTTCATTTGGCTCTTACTGACGGCATCGCCTTCACCGTTTCAATTCAAATTTATAATGATTTTATGTCAGTTTCTTTCCAACTACAGAGCGAGTGAGCGAAGTAGTGTGTCAGTACACAACTACAAAATGAATAACTTCACCCACTAGACGCTAGCAAACGTGTCAATAAATGCATCAATCTCTGAGCATTAACAAATTGTGACTTGATTAGTTCAAACAAAACAAACTTCAAGCGATGCCGAAGCGTGCACGTGTCGCTCTGGATTAAACCGGTTTATTAAGGTATTAGGTACCGCTTTCATTTCGGACGCGCTCCGAACGAAACCTTTACTAAAAACCGGTATTAACCTTTATTTACCGGTATTTTCGAAACCGGTTACAAGCCCTGATATGAACCCCCGCGCTGGTGAAAATTTCATTTCCTACCGCCAAATACGTCACTTCCACTAATTTCAGAGCCGCCATTAAGTTCCACGATTTAAATACTGAAGCTCACCATCAGCCTGCCCATCGGTCCTCTTAGCCCCCTTGGTCGGAGGCTCCAACTTCAGTTTCTTGATGACCCTGGCGCTGGTCCGCTGTTGCTGCTGCGTAGTCAAAGAGCCCAGCAGCTCAGCCTGCTCCGACTCGCTGCCCGACGCCGTCGCAGTGGGAGACATTGCGGATTCTTTCACTGCATTCGTGGTCTGCAAAGAGGAATATTTTTTTGAGAATGGTACAGCGCACTATGGGAACCCGCCTAAGAAAGCCATCTCATAAATGCTGTTTTCGTAACTGTGATTCGAGGCATGTATTATACATCAAATTATAGCTAAAGAGTTATTTTATTATAATCAATATAGTTTAAGTTTCTGACTCTTCGTATTTTATAAAGAAGAACATCTAAAGTCTGGGAATGAAAAAAATACAAAAATAATAATATGATTTCAGTTAGTTTGGTAAGTTTTTTGTAAGTATTATAAATAAACTTTTATACACAAATTATACATTATTTAAAAGCAAATATATTCAAGATCATGATGATATCTTTATTAACACAAGAGTTATAGATTTTTGAGATGAAAATGAGTCCCATAGTGCAGCGCTCCAACTGGACAAGTAGCTACCAAACCTCTTTGGTTTTATACGCCTAGATAAAGCAAATCCAAAAACAACACGCAAAAAAGGTTCACATTACGCGCAATGTGTGCGAACATTATCATTGTCACTAATGTCAGATTATACAAAGCAGTCAATGTGTGCGTGTGTAGCAACGAGCATATCTACCATATGTAGTAGATATTTTTGTGCCGCTTCCGTGCAGTTAACACGGCGCTTAGGGAATATTAAGTCAAAAATAATTTATTACAAGTACTTGTGAAGGTCGCTACGCCATCGGTTCTCAAAACTACGGCGTGAGACCTTGTGCTGAGAAGAAGCGGCAAGAAACTCAGTAAGGTTTTGTATTATTGAAGTTATACTTCTTTAGGCGCGTTATGAAAAAATGATGAGAGTGAAATTTTAAGATGCGCGCGCATCACTGTAACACAAAATTTTAACAGCATGAAGTTGGTCGCTAAAGCGACCGTTGCGTTACTTTTGTGTTTACCGCACATTAAGAAAATCTACCAACAAAATAGAAATAGAATCTCTATTTAGTGGGTGCTAACGACTGTATTGTGAAAGCCTATCAAAAGTATTTATTAATCTGGAACAACGGAACCAAAGCGCGATTCAGGAGACTACAGCGCCATCTCTTGACCATTGGTGTAGTAGAACCAAAAACCACATCTTTATTTTTTGTAATAAAGTAACAGTTATAGGTATTCATATTTATAATATTTATCCACATGTTTCTAGTTTGTATATTCGGAATACGTGTTTGAGTTTCATACAAGTGCAAATCACATATGTTCTAATAAATTATATTCAGTAGCGATTTTAATTGAATATTTTGATTATTTATTTATTTTTTCAAATTAAAACTGAACTTTATTGACTGTGTCCTTTTCCAGACTTTTTATTAATTTATTGTAATTAATTATTTGCATGCAATTAAAAACTAATTTTAAACGATGCCAAAGAAGGATAACTTCTCACGCGCCTACATAAGTACACGCACCCATTTTTTATTATTATACAGGAAGGAAATCTATTATATACAGAGTAGTTAATTTGAAAAATTACTTCTGAGATACTTCTTACCATATCTACCCTTTTTGTTTTAATCTAAAGTTACAGTAGAACAATGTGAAATTGTCCCTATCAGCTCATGCAATTTTAATATAACGTCACGGTATATAATAGCCAACACTGTCATTCACTAGTGAATAGTTTACCAATGAGAGCACAGTTCCAAAATTAAAATCGGTTTTTAAACGGTATATCGTAACAAAGTTTGACAATGAAGAGTTGCACTTGCAGCATTTTCTTGGTAAGTCTTCTCTTCAATGTCGATGGGGACATTTTGGTGGCCAACGAAACTGTGGTAAGTGGAATGAGTTAAGGGGCCCGTATACGGAACGATTGATCTGTACGATCCGTCGTTTCAGACCGATCGAAACGATGGATCGACAGTGTATGTCAAGATCGTTAACGATTTACTTAATCGAAGACGATATCGCAAATCGCAACCAAATCCCATGCAATCATGAATATCGTAAGCGATCGATCGACAGTGTTTCGTGTATGTAGTGGCATTTCTGAACGATCGATCGTTGACGATTTCCTTCAGATCGATCGCAACGACAAATCGTTCCGTATATGGGGCCCTTTAGCTCATAACTTGTATTGCTAGTGACTGACATTATTCTCGTCAAAGATAATTTTTCGTCCCTCCAGCGTCAACTGGTGCAATCTGCTGGATATCCAGTAGAGAGACACTATGTGCATACCTCAGATGGATACATCCTGCAAGTCTACAGGATACCACATGGAAGGGCAGAAACAAACAGAATTGAAGGGAAGAAGAAAGCAGTTGTACTGTTTCATGGTCTGACCGGTAGTTGTGATAATTACCTCGTCATGGGTCCCAAAAAGAGCCTCGGTAAGTTAAGTATGATTGTTTTTTTTATCCTAATTTCGATTATATGATATCAATGAAAGTTTATTATGTTTGTTTCTCAGTCAAGGAGCTCTATATTTGAATCTAACGCTTGATTTCTACTAAATTTCATTCGACATAATAATTCCATATTTTTGAATCGCTCGAGTGCAACGAATGGGTGAGACCACTCGCTGCATGGCGAATGGTGGAGGCGAATGATAGAATAATTGTCATTTTTTTTGTGGATTAGACGGCGATAATCTATCATTGTCATGCTTTATAGGAAAGGACAAAGAGTAGTAGTAATTATCGGTTTTTATTATTTCTGCGTGAACTTAGTAAAATTTCGTATTTCGTATCAAACAGGTAACACTGGTGACGAGTGATTCAAAAATACGGAAAATCAGTATTATGCGACTTGAAAGTCGAAAGTGACTTATATCCCATTCGACCATACTATGTCAGACGAGTGATTCAAAAATAGAGCTCAAGTAAATCACCAACGATTTGTATTTATAGGTACTATCGCGGAATTTTGCGCTCTGTCACTTGGCGAACAAAATGCTATGAACGGTTTTCTACAGTAGTTTTTACTACGCCCCGCCTTCGAGACGGACGCGCCAATCCGGGCCGCCGCACAAAAGTAAGACAGAGAGCATTTCATTGATTGAATAATGAATTGAATTGCATTTGTTTTAGTTGCAATTTGTCATCCGCATCGTGATCGCGACAGCGCTATACGAAAAAGTAAGACGGCGATAATTACATGTCTATGAATGAATTTTTACTACGCCGCTACCGCAAGCGATTATGGCATTTAGGGTGACAGAGCGGGTATTTCCGCGAGTGTACCTACCCAAACCAATTCTGGAATACCTACTTACTACAGTTACTCAGTCCCAAACTATCATAGATATATAAAAAAGCCCTTTCAATGCTTACATTGAAAACACAAGTAAATAAATAACCATGGCTATGTAAAAAATAAATAACATATGATTACAACGATTACATTTTGAATAGGACTACTTTTAAATTTTATTAATAACACAAAATGAGTCCATTAGTTTCAAAGATAGCAATATATGCATTTGGATGATGTTGATAGGAACAATTATGCAGGCATATCAATCATCTCTTATCTAATAGACAAGTCCGTCTGTCTGTGGTGCTGTTATAAAGAGAATATTTAAGTTATAAGTTGAGAATAGTCTGATAAGACTACAAACCGGATTTGAGTAACGTAGCACTTCCGGTTTTTGAGAAATCACGAATTTCAAACGAAACCACACAAAATCTCCGAAGTTCTCAATTAATTAAATACATTTTTTTTAATCAGGTTTTGGTGAACATTTGGTTCACTGGTTTGCTAGTTTTTATTAATTTATCTACTACAATACTCTTTACGTAAAAGCTTTTTCTTATTATTGGTATAAACGGAGCATGTCGAACTAATGAACTAACACAAAATTCAGATGACTTGCTATTAATTAATTTAGACAAAAAGAAACCGCAACTTCGTAATTCGCAAAGGAATACGTCACAATTGTTGAGAAATATCAAGCTTTACGCCTGCCTACACACCAACCGATAGATTTTTTCTACAATATCGCAACAAAATAAGTGTTTCAGCCAGCTTATGGGTGCTAATAAAATTGGCGGTTTCCCACGAAACATAGCAACTTATCTTGAACTTCCAGAACCCCCGTTGTACACGATTCACTGAAACTTCAGCCACACTTTTGGCCGATTCAGGAGCTGATCTCCTGTCCCTTAACCGAAATGGAGGCTGGAAATCCAATGCGGTTGTAGAGGGATACACAGAGGATTCCATCCACAATTAGTCTAAAATATGTAAAGGTATCGTAGGAGCCATTACACTGAAAGAGCCTCAATCAAATCCTTGGACTGGGTCTTCTACATCAAAAATGACCCCTTACGAAACACCTAACCTTCGCTCTCTTTCGCCAACATTTACGCCAAGGGAATCCGATGAAACGGTACAACAATTAAGCATGACAGATAGTTTTCCAAAATACAGTACAAAATTCGCTAACAACAACTTTACAGTACCTTACACAAATACAACGTTACTTTATTTTTTTTTCTTAATTTATTATTTGTTATAATTTAAAGATTATTCTGTAATACTTACCTATCATAATGTAGTAGTTAATACCAAAACTGAAATAAAATTATCTTTTGATTGTAATTAGTTTTTTGTTTGTATTAAGTAAGTCATTTCCTCGCTGAGGTGGGATGAAAAGTTACATGGTGCACTCGAGTGCAGATTTTTCACCTCGTGCTCTTTTGATTCTCTCGCTAACGTTCAGAATTTAAATTTATTGAATCACTCGCTGCGCTCGTCCCTCGTGACACTTGTATAATGCGATTCAACGAAGATTAGGACCGACTGGGCGCCATATTGTGATGTCATAGCTGTCAATTCAAACCAAATAGGTAGAGTGAGCAAAAACAAGTTTTTATTTAATAAAACTTATTTACTAAGATTGAGAAAAAAAAACACCGATTTTTAATAATATTTATTTATTGAGACTGTGAGAAAAAACATTAATCAGAATCTAGCTCTTCTATTCCGCTCATCTCTGCATTACCGCCGGAGTAGTTATGAATAATCATGCACTATTACTAGGTCACATA